TGTAGTCGCAAGGGAGCAATTGATTCGAATAGACGTATTGTACCGTACCGCATCATATTGTATTTCAAACTTTTATATCATTAGAATTTATATGTATACATATGTATATTCCTATAAACATGCGTCAGTTAATATAAGCTTCATTTCATCGAATTGTCTTAAATATAAAATATGAATTCCATTTAGTCGTCAATCCGAGGTACAAAACCGTCTCATATATCTTGTAAACGTAAAATGTAATTATATTACACTGTTAAGGAGGTTTTTTCTGATTTGCAACTTTGTTACACGTGTCGCCCTATGACTGTACAGTTGAGGTGCTCTCGATTTATCACGTTGTTAATTTTGTTAAAATTTTAAAAAACCAATTGCTCGTTTAAAAAGTGCACGAAAATTCAGGACAATTGAGTTCTCTGTTAGCAACTTTGTTACATTTCCCATCAGAAACTTACTATTTATTCAGTTTTCGGGAACATCGCTTGATATATATATTCTATAATAATGTGTATAAGACCAATAATAATGTGTCCCGTTCTAATCTTTCAGGGTCTGTTTCAGGAAGCATCATACGAAGACATCACTTCATCCGATGATCACATATGATGAGTTCACGCATCACGTGAACTTCATACGAAGATTTCTCATATGTACCGTTTTAGTGTCTTTTATTTAAACAATTTTATTTAAACAAATCATGTAGGTACACGCAATATGAATGGAATATATAACACTTCATTTGTGTTAATAATGTTCAGAATTTGTGCTTTATCGGTAACATCGGGTATAGACACTAAAATGGTAACAGGGTTTCGTAGCCCTGCGAACGTGGGACAGAAAAAATCAGTGGATAATATGTAGGTCTATTCTATACCTAGTCGATGCTAATATGTATTCGGTGCCAACTATATTTCGGTGACGTAGCCTCATTTCCATTTTAGTATCACTACCCACCGCAGATTCATTATTCTCATAACGTAGAGGTCGCTAAAATCACAGACATTTTAAAGTGTCGGTACTACAGTTTAGGTGGACCACCTACTTCCATAAGGTGAAAAGTCTATTCTTATACCTCGTCGGTGGTAGAAGATTGACTAGCTGAGCTCGAGTTGGGTTGAATGTAATTCCTGAGTTCACCGTTCGCAAATTGCAGAGACCGCTAAAATCACTGGCTTTTTAAGGTGCCGGTATTACAGATTCCTACAGCCACGTCGTCCCGTATTAACATGTTAAGCCTATTCTTGCATCTCATCTGTGACAAGACATGCTGTATGGTTTCATTCAATATCTTATAACTGTTAATTCTATGAATTATTTACTGAAAGTTTTACTGGTATATATATTTTCTATGCTTTCTACTCCAAATTTAATGTTTCCAATCCTCAAAAGTAAGACGATCGCACACATTCGCTAATATGATCAATGTAACTGAATGTAATCAATGTGTTTATACTTTTGTCATACTCGTACTCATTAAGAAACACTCGTTAATAACTGTTATTCGTAAACGAATCATTTCATGAATTTCAGTAGGATAATATACATTAAATATGTTGTTCCTCGTGTTACCGCGTGGAATAAATAAAATATCAGTGAAGTGGCGGTACTGGAAGACACTGTTTGTAATTAAGTGCCATCAGCGGAAGTAGAAACTGAGATACAGGGCTGTTACACCGCGTCAAATAAAATTCCCTCCCCTTTACTAACACGATGGAACGTCGAGTACCGTGAGCGTTATAATTAAGTAAGAATAATTCAAAGGTTGGATAGGGAACTAGGGTTGGCACGATGTGTCGTGAAAGGCGGCCTCGCACTTGCACGCAATTAATTCTGAAACGCGCGCGTATCATTTCGAAAGAGGCGGAATTTAATGTAACGCCCGGTTCCGTGTGTATTTCAGGTAATTCGTCGGGACCCTCCCGTCTTCGTTGTCATGCTTTTAAGGTTTGTAACGTAAAGCTAT